AGACAGCTTAATCCTCCAATTTCCTGTCTTCTAATCAGCCCCTGATTCTCTTGGTTTTAAATTAGAAACACTCCTGACAATATTCAGGACAGGTGAAGGAAACTCAACTAGAAAATAAGGAAGGACAAAGCATTTATTTCACTGTCCAAAGTTCACAGGAGAAATAGGACCGTAACAACAGGAAATCAAGATTTTTTAGAAAGATAGCAGAAGAGCACAGGCTAGCTTAAGCAGCCAATCACATTTCCGAATGAAGCACATTTGGATCCTAATTAAATTTAAGAAGAAAAAAAAAAGGAACTAGTCTAATGTATTTGCTTCTCTCTAAGAATAGTGAATTGTATTTGAAAAGTGGTTGTACAAGGCTGACCTCAAAGAAAACGATAAGGATAAATTCTTAATGTATGTGGAAGAAAAAGTCAACTCTACCTCATTCAGAGTTTCTTTTGTTTTTTGTTTTTTTTTTTTTAAGAACCTTTTACTGCCAATGCAGAGAGGAAAAAAAAAAGGTTTTGAGGCATAGAAACATCTGATTTTGGTGGATATTCTTAGACATAATATGATTACACATATTTACAATGGCGGTTCTGCTTAAAGTTGCTCATTTAATGATTAGTTCAGATCAAGCCACTCAACGCATGAAAATATTTTCAAAGGGCATGCAAATGCACTAAATTCAAGGTGTATAAATAGGTTTGCCATGGACTTTTCTAAAAAAAAAAAAAATAGATCAGGCACTGAGACTACGTTATGTTTCATTATTTTCCGGTTCTCTTCTTTTGACTCTTTTCATTATTACCATTTTAGCAACCTCCAAGTTATTTCAATGATTATCTTGAAAGGGCTGCTGCGAATTCCTAGGAAAGTCTTCATCAGGCAATATCGGCGAAGGCATGCAGAAAATGGTCATTAGGAAAAGTTGCTCAGTTGATAATTAATATTCAGAAATTGAAGTGGGCTCACAACATGAATTCAAGTCAACAGCAGCAAGAGGTTTCAAGGAACACAAAGCTGCCAGTCATTGTGGAAGTAGACTGCAGGTGATGGCTTTTAATTGGTAAACAGAACAAAACAGTTTTTCACAGAAACATGTTTTTACATGCATATTTAAAAAAAAAACAGATATTTATATCACAAGGCATACCAGATACCTCTTGCCCAAGCATGTTCTGGTATACCAACTTTGAGTTGTAAACAACTGGGTTTAAACAACAATTATGCATTGAAAATTAACGTGTTAATTTCTTTAAAAAATTGTCAAAAATAAATAGTCAGGAATTTGGTCTTGGTAACAGAAGCTAGTTGCAGAATCACCTAGTAGTTTTAGCTTCAGTTGTCATAAATGTTAAATTTGAATGATAGAAGAAAGACAAGTGTATTTTGGAGTTCATAGACAAATTTTCCCATAACAAACCTTTGTCACTAAATTAGTGTAACTGGGAGAAGGATTATTCTGCTTTCATTTTAAAGCTGGGTGGGAGAACAGAGGTGTTCTGGTGGACCAAAATCTCTTCTGGAGCAAATATGTGCATTCAGGGTGTTTCCGATTCATTTGGAGTGAAGAACAATTTTGTGAGTACTTTTTTTTTCCTTAGTTTCTGTCGGAAAGTTTCAACTAGAGATGTCACAACACAGTGAGATGAGGTTGATACGAAATATCTATTTCTTGATTTACATGATTAAAGCATTAGAGAAGTGGCTCAGATATCAAAAGGTTCCTTATAAGTGGCAGTGCCAAAGGTAATTACTGTTAGAATGTGCATGCTTGAACCCGGTTGCCTGTCAACCTCCCAGTTGTTTACAACTTGGTAGCTTTGAATAAAAGTTTTCATTAGACTTTGGAGTATCCTGTGTACCTTTTTTTTTTTTTTTTCACCAGTTTGCTATAAAAATTCATGTTTTAATTTCGTATACCCAGTGTCCCTCAGGAAAGCATTAACTTTTAGCCGAAAGAAGGGAGAGTCAGACATATGCCTTCTTAGTATTTTACATCATAAAATCACTGTTTCTTAAGTGGAAGTAGTCTTTTAAAGACAAAGCTAAAACTTACACCTAAGAGGAGTGATGATTACTTCATCCAAGTGATTTCTAGTTAGTTATCAGGAAGGGCCCTAAGCTCCACTGTAAGCCAGAGCGGTTATGGGGGGAAGGGAGGAAAAGAAAGGGGAAGGATCATTATTCTTAATCTTTTATTGACCAGGTTTCTTTCATTCTAATGTGGCTTTATTATTTAGAAAAAAAATTAAAAAGCAATCCAGAGCTCCACCCATTTACACCTAAATCCTGGAATAGGTGATAGCCCTCTACAACCTGGCTCAGCACATGCCCCCAAACTAAAACAAACAAACTCATTTGCCATACAAATTGTTTACGATTCATTAAAAAGCAAAATTGCATATCCCGGAGCTGGCAGCTGAGGCCGAGTCTCCATGGGCGGAGGGGGCATTCACTGAGTTGCCTTTGTATGCTGGGAGGACCAAGCCGGAGGTTCCTGCTATGAGTCCGGAGTCTGAGCAGCCAGATGACACAGGAGGTAATTTTAAAACTTTATTTGCCTTTAATATGAAATTCAGATCTCGAACTGTCCTTTGCTTGAAGAACCATGTAAGCCATAAGTTTGCTTCTGCTTTTTGTTTTTTTCTTTTCAGTTTGGAAAAATTGTCTGGGTTAGTAAGGTGGTGATATTGAGGGAGAAAGAATGAGGGCTATTGAAGGAAAGAGATCGAAAAATAATGTGAAACATGTATTTTTTTATTAGTTGTTTCCCCCTTCATCAAAGCTTTTCCCTAGCTTTCCACCAGTAATGGAAAATTTACATCAGAATTATTTGTAACTTGTAGGTCTAAAGTTTTATGGTGTACAATTGCCCATAAGGGAACTAAAATTTTGATTTACTCCCTATGGTAATTCTTAGAACTACTCTAAAGAGCCTGTAGATTTCTCACTCCTTATTCAAAGCAAAACCCAAGAAGCCCTGAAGTCAAGAGAAACTTCTTTGCTGTGTGCAGCCTAAACAGCAGCGTGCAAGCTTTCAGCATTGTTTATCTTTAGTCAAATGCATTGCTAAGTGTTCCCACCACTTTTATACATTATATTCCCCGCGGTAAAACAGCTGTAAAACAATTTTAAATGAAGAGCAACTTCTAAGTAAACTTTACAGAAAAGAAATTACAGTTTTCTAAATTAGAAGGGAAGAAAAAAAAAAGAAGCATTTGGTGATCTCTGCAAGAAAAAAAGAAAGATGACACAATTTGCCATAAAAAGTAACAGTCTATAAAATCTAGGACCTCTTGAAATATAGTAAGGAAATAAGAGTGTTTTACTGAGAACATGAGATCAGCACAGTTTTTTTTTTTTCTCAAGCTTACAACTTAGCCTAGAAAATAATTGCCAAACGAATCAGTAAATTCATTTGCAGTGCTTAACAAGCTGTGTGAATCGAAGCAATATGACCATCTCATACAGGCAAACCTTGTTCTTGCTGGCACAAAGTCTAATGGGAAAATAAATGCCTTGAATAAAAGTTCAGGGTGCTAACAGACGATTGCAAGTCTCATTAGCCAAAAGCCGTCTGTAATATTGTCCTGCGACCACTGGTAAAGTTTCTGACGTCTAGTTAAGAAAGTACAAGAGAAAATAGACATGTACGCACATACCCACAACTACTTTTACTCAAGTCCTTGGAATGGACATACTGAATCCCAGGCAGCAGCCGAATAGCATCCTGCAGTAGCTCGCTTTTAATAGTCTCAGTCTTCCGAATTCCTACATCTTGCCAAAATGATAGCACCGTTTGTCCAGGAAGAGGGAGTACTTTTTCTGAAGATCATACAGTGAACCATGCCCTGTTTTGTAATTCCATTCGCCAGGCTCCCCGGTCAACATCACACACTCTCCTTTTCTTAAACTGATATCTATGTGAAATGAATGAGCTGAAGTTCACGGTCCAGTTAGGAACGGATAATACATTCATTGTCCTGGCAGCAAACTTTTTTTTTTTTTAAACTCCCTGGAAGAATTCACGCTTGCTGCAAGAATAATAATTACAGAAAACTAGGAATGCAGTGCTAACGAATTAATCCTTAACGGACACCCCCTTAACGAGGACAGCAATGATTCTGGGACTCTCTTCCTCACAGGACGAGCGTCTCCTGTGACAATGAGCTATTGTACATCCTCCCACTTCACTCTAGCTCTTATAGATCCCAGAAGTCAAAGGTTGTCTGGCCTGGTTGACCATGACATGTGAGTTAACTCATTCTGCAGCTACGAGTTAGAAGTTCCTTAAACTTCCTTGTGCCCAGAGCAACTGAAAGGAAGGGTGTGTGTGTGGATCGGTTCCGCTTAGAGCTGGCGGTTCTAAGAGGCGGGAGGACTGCTCCGACATAAACAAACATGAAAAAGTTAGATGTGGGAGCTGTGGTCCCCGAGGAAGCTGAGGAACGGAGGCTTAGAGTACTCTTACAGGTGACTTGAGACCTTCCAATTACGGGGACATGGAGGGAATCTCGCCGGGCTTGCTTTTCTCCAGTGCTCGATATGATATGCACCCCTAGACAATTTCACAGCCAAGGAGAAACATGTACCCCACGGTTCTCCAAAACAAAAGTGAAGTGGGTGTGAATCTAGAGAAGGGGGCACTAAACCCAAGGGGCAAGGCAAATCTACAGACATCCATGGCTAAAACACAGAATTCCACCATAAAACTTTTGGTAGTCTTAAAAATATATTTAATATATGAAAAACAAAACAAAACACCAAACACTGTCCCATAGAAAACAAGGGCAAGTATTACTGGGAACTCAAGTTGCAGAGTGGCAGAGAGAGGGAGGGTGGCAAAAGGAAGCAGTGTGAGGCAGCCTCACTGAAGAGTGTGAAAAAAATCAAATGTGAGTTTGATGAATGTGAGGTCTGGGACATTTTGTCAAAGAGGGAGGGAAAGTAGAAAAGGGGGGGAAAAGGAAAAAAAAAAAAAAAGGCAGTCCCGGCTGCCAACTCACCATCCACCAAGTTCTGGCCGAGATGTCGTAGCAAAGCTGCCATTTGATGGAGCCGTCGGAAGCTTTCCCTGCCATTACGCTGTCAGCAAGCTTCATCTGATGCTAACTCACGGGAGATAAGACACCTAATTGAGAAAACATTTGCAGTGGCATGTGGGGCAACATGTAGTCCGGTCCATACCATATGGAATCATGGGTAAAAAAAAAAAAAAAATCTCCTTGACAATGAACCAATCTCTCCCAGACCCAGTGGCAAGGTGAAGTGGAGATGAGAAGTCCTCAGCTCACATTGTCTTCCCGTCTTCCCTTCTCTCTTTAAAACAAGAGCCCACTGCTGCACATCAAAGGGAGGTGGTTAAAATTAGGGCTTCGTCACTCAGATGATTTTGGTCTGCAAGGTTTTTCCTTTCCTTCCAACAACCAGCCCCCCCCCCTTTTTTTTTTTAAGGAGAATAAAGAGATTTAATAGGACAAAGGCAGGTAGTGGACTGCGGAGGGAGATCGCCACAGGCTATTAGCCTAAAATTTCTGCCTGACAGATGGAACTGCTTAGAGACTATCATGCAATGTTTGGGGCATTTTTCCCTCCCCCCAACTCAGACTCTAAGTCTGATTCAGTATCTGTTTTTCACAGCCACTCTCCTTTTGAACGTGAGCTATGCATTTTAGAAAGTGTTTGGTTCAGTTTTGCTGTGTTACACATCTCCCTTGGAAGCAAAGCAAAAACTCTAAAACTAAATCTCGGAATAACTGAACAGGTTTTTCAAGGAGAAAAAAAAAATTCCAGGGGCAAAATATTTCTCTTTCTATACCTTGTTTGTATGGTTTGTTGTTGTTTAAATTTTTTAATTAATTCATTAGTTAATTTGGTTATGAAAGAACCTAAATACAAGATGCCAGCACCGGACTCCCTTGCTTTCTGGTTCAGTTGGCATTGTCTGTAGTTGTGTTTTCATGTGAGTACATTACTACCTTGCTGGTGTGGTACGCATTCTAGCCAACACTAGGCTATATATCTATATTATTTTTGATGCTGTTAAAATGAATTCTGAACTCCTTCATTCTTTATAAATAAAGTAAGCAGTCATCACCAATTCATTTTTTACACAATTCAGGCTAAATTTGATATAAAAGTCTCCTTAATCAGGAAAAAATTAATTCTGATTTCCTCACTATAGTGTAGCCATCTTCTTTGTAGAAATTTTAAGTTAAGCATTTTTTCTTTTGCTCAAAACAAACAAACAAACAAACAAACAAAAAACAACCCACAATAGCATGGACTTGCCTAAAAAAAGTACTAGAGAAATGAATTTTTTTTTTCAAGTGGGAGAAACTTTAGACATCTGCTGAATTCAAGCCCCTTCTTGAGGACTAATGGGGAAGGAAGTGACCGAAATCTCTTGGATTCTACCACCTGCCTTCTGTAGCTGTCATTCCTGTGGACTGAGCTGGGCAGGGGCTGCAGATAACACCTGTGAGGAATACCACTGCAAGCTCATCCTGGGGTTCTTCTTGAAGATGAGCCACCCTGGCATCCCCAAGCTTTCACCAGTGATGATCTACAGTTCTGTGCCCGGAGGCCTTCCATGTGGGTACCTCAGGGTGTGGGAGGATTGATCATTGTTTCTCACAGCCATCAAACTGTGATCATTGAAGAGTTGTGGTTTTAACAATCCAACTATCTAGTGAACTTTTCCTATGCATATTTTCAGCCTAATTGTATTTTGGCAGCTTTTGTTCTGGTCTTTAATTTAAAAAGAGGTTAAGTTTGGTTGCTTTTTGCTTTTTATTTATGGACCACTCCTTAAAAGTAATAGGGGTTATTATTATTATTTTGAACTATTTACCATTATGGTAATACAGTAGATAGCTCTTTTTTTTTTTTTTTTTTTTTTTTACAAAATGATTTCAGTAAGGTAATTTTTAGTCTTTAGAACCAGAGGTATTTTCTCATTTCAGGCATGCCCCAAGTCTGCATTTAGGGACGAACAGCACATAGAATAAATCTGGTTCTTTTCCTATTTTTGTCCTCCATTGTAATCATCTAATAAAATGGGGCTAGAAGGATTGTTCTCGATCTCTGAGGGGGTTCTTTGTGTTTGCATACCCTTGGTCTCAGGTCGCTTTGAAGAGCTTATGGTACCATATCAAATGTTAGATTGGTGCCAGTGTCCTCTTTGTGACACAGGCTCCTTCCAGAAACATTGCCTGACCAGAAGAGTTGTACAGTCACATCGTCAAGAAAACAACCATCTGGAAAAAGACTAGAAAAGAATTTGTAAATTCTAGGTATAAGGTAAAATAGCTACTTGGTTCTCCCACCTCAAAGGAATAGGAAAAGGAAGCAGCATTCTGGCTTTTAATCCACCTCCTGTTCTGCCCATTTGCCTTATTTAAGTTCCCTTTCCTATTTTATTTTCTCCAGCTTCCTCTCCTGCACTAGTGTGCATGGACATTTGCATTTGTGTGACAAAGCATTTCCGTGTCTAAGCGTGTCTGTCAGAATCCTCTCAAGTTGAAGGTGTTTGTCCTCCGAGGCACACAGCATTTCCAGGATTCAGAACATTGTATGCTTGCCCATTATTTATGAATGAATGGGGCACCGACTAAACTGGCACCCAGACTTCATTTTGTGAATGATGAAATACCTTCAAGTACTTTGTAGCAGATAACACAGTAGTCTTGAACAAAAAAAGTTAGATATTTTTGGATAACAGCTTTAAATCCAGAACAATTAGACACATTTAACATTCTCATTGTGGACTAAAAGCCTGATGGAAGCTGCCCTTTCTCATATAGCAGTCTTTTCACAGTGTGGCCCGTTGTTAATAGCCTTAAAACAAGATTAAATAAAACATGTTAAATATTGCAATTATTGTGGGAAATAAAATTATTTGGTGAGCATAATGGAGAACAATTCAAGCATTTAACATGATCCAGGAAATGCTACTCCAAACAATTGCATTGCTTTATGCATTTTCCCCTCTTTGATTGCTGACAGATGCCTTTTTGGAAACAAACATCTAAATGGTTTGCCTTCAGTCAGGGGGAAAAAAAAAAGCGGCTACATGGTTTGAATTTAACTCTTGTCATTTGAACACTTCTCCATGCATGTGAGTGGATCTGAGGGGAAGGCAGCATTTCCATCGCAAAACAAGCCCGTAGAGTCTGCTTCTTTTTCGTTTTCGTTTTCTTTTCTTTTCTTGAGTATGTATTGTAAGAAGTGGGGTCCCCTAGCTGTGTAGTCAGGAGACAGAATAAGGCCCAGGTGATAAGGGGAAGCACTGGGAAGGAAATGGACCATCACAAGAAGTCTTGGGCCAAGTGCCAGTGGCTTCCTAACCTGGCTCTGGTTGTCACAGACCAAGTGCACGATTGAAACCTGTTGTGTTATGGGGGTTAAAAAAAAAAACAAACAACAACAACAAAAACCCCAACAACCCCAGAACATGGGATTTGTAGCTGGGTCTTTCTTCCAGTGTGCTTTGGGCACAGGCCTGCAGGACTGCTGTCAACAGGTGTAAAACACTGATGAAAACTTCGGATCAGTGCTGAGGCAACATGTAACGGAATATTAATGGTTGTCAGAGGCTTCGATAGTAGAATGGGTAAGAGTATTGTTTCTGAAGTCTCATACCCTGCTCTGGGGAGTTATTGACTGTGTGGCCTCTCCCAGCATAATTAACCTCTCTGATTGTGTGTGTGTGTGTGTGTGTGTGTGTGTGTGTGTGTGTCCTGTACGAGTCAGGAAAACAAAGAAAATAACATTGTAGTATGCATGTGTATATCTGTGTATTTGTGTAGCTGTGAGCCAACACACGTATCAGATGCCTATTTCCTAATATGTAACAAGGGCTGTGTCAGCACTGCTGTTCCTGTCCTGAGAAATTCCCTCTTTTCCCATCCTCTGGTCCTGTGCTTTGAGTCTGGGTTTTCTCCCTTTGGTTTTCCCTTAACAAGCTGAGCCTTGTTCCAACACAGCTCCGATACTCGTGCCCACTCCCCAGCTCATGTTTTCAGCCTGTCTTCCCATATCCACCTGGAGATTCCTGAGGCAGGATGGTGCCTTCCTCTGTTAGAACGGCTTTGGGAATGGGAGGAGGTGCCCCAGTGTTCAGGTCAAGAAGACACGGGAGTCTGCCCACCTGGAATGCTAGCTGCAGCCTCACAGTCCTGCGGGCTCCTCTTTACATTGCGCTCATGCTGCCTCCCCTTTTAGAATACAGCCTGGGTCAGAGTCCCACTGTGCAGGGATCTGCAGCTCTTTGCCTCCCTGTTGCCATCTTTATCCAGATCATCCTTCTGTGTCTACTTCAGATAGACTGGCTCTATTACCACCTGTCTTTGATGAACATATGTCTTTTATCCATTCATCCATCCATTAAATAGCATTTCTGCAGTGCCAGCAATTAAATGCATTTCCCTCTCCTTTTAAGCTTTGTTTCCAGGACCCTTGGAAATGTGAAACTCTACAAGAGCACGTGATTTGAACGCAGCATGTAATAACAGCCAACGTTTATCCAGTGTTTCCTCTCAGCCAGGCGTTGTTCCAAGAGTCTTAAGTATTTTTTTTCCAGGTAGGTTCCTATGACGTAGACTTATTGTTAACTTCACTTTATAATCAGAAACAGATGTTGGGCACAAAATGTGTCCTATTTAGGGTTTCTGAGTTAGAACTAGAATGAGGATGAAGGCCAGGAGTTGGGTCCAGCCCCTTTACCTCTGCTATTACCTCTGAAGTCACTGATAGGATGCTGCACCTGCTGTATGCCAGGAATCTCCTAAGTTGCTTTTAGGTGAAGCAGGTGAAACATGTACAACAGTCTAGAAGGCTAATCTCAACTACAAACAAGATTTTGTTTAAAAAGAAAAAGAAAAAAAAAAAAAAACAAGAATGATTCAGCCCACATCTGCTTGACTAAAAAACATCCCACCCATGCTTTTCCTATTCTAAGAAAGTGGTTAGATTTTGTTTCTTTTGTAGATTTAGACATTGGGGGAAAAACCCCACCAGATTGAATCACCAACATCTTAGAAGCCCTGAAATTAGAAAGATTTCCTGTTGCTGAGGTTGCAGAGCTTGGTTTAGGGCAGAT